AGCAGAACGGCGTGGCTGAGCGGTTCAACTGGACCCTGCAGGAAGGTGCTCGCACTCTTCTTGGGCGTGCAGGGCTGCCGGATCCGTTTTGGGTGATTGCACTGCGGCAGGTCGCCCTTGTGAAGAACAGGGTGCTCGCGACTGTGGGAGACAAGCAGTGGGTCCCCTACACCAAGTGGTATGGGAGTGCACCAGCTGTGAACATGTTGAGAGCCTTTGGATGCATGGTGGTGTTTCATGTGCCTAAGGAGAAGAGGGGAAAACTGGAAGCTTCTGGAAGATGGGGTGTGCACTTGGGGCTTGCTAAGGATCACAAAGGCTGGCTGATTTGGGGCTTGACCAGCCAGCAGCTGACTGTGTCGAGGGATGTGAAGTTCCTTGAGTCCTTGTACTACAAGGAGTGGAAGCAGCAGCAGCAGAAGCTTCCTACTACACCGCTGATCATTGAGGCCGATGAGGTGCAGCAGCCTTCGAGGCAAGTGCAGGTCACTGTCTCAGAGGAGGAGATTTCTGGGGTGACTGAGGATGGGGGAGAACCTGAGGTGGAGGAGCAGCAGCAGCAGCAGCAGCTGCAGCTGCAACAGCAGCAGCAAGATGATCCACAAGGTGCCGCACGTCCGGCTGATCGTCCAAGGAGGGATATGCGCCCTCCTAACCGGCTGACCTATCCGAGCTTTGGCAAGCCAAAGGTGGTAAGGGCTGGGAGTGTGGCTGAGCAGTGTGATGAGGAGGAGATAGCATATTGCTACTGGGCAGCCGTCCCTGAGCCCAAGACGCTAGCTAAGGCATTCAGTGGGCCCGATGCTGAAAAATGGAAGCAGAGTGTGAAGGAGGAGTATGACTCTCTGCTGGAGAATGAAACGTGGGAGCTCCGTGAGTTGCCACCTGGGAAGAAGGCCATTTCTTCCAAGCTGATTTTCAGCCACAAGTACGGACCTGATGGGGAGTTGAACCGCTACAAGTCAAGGCTTGTGGCTAAGGGGTTTCAGCAGACAAAGGGGAAGGATTATGACGAGATCTTTGCTCCTGTGGGGAAAGGCACAACATTGAAAGTCTCACTGGCAATGGCAGCAAACCGTGGATGGCGGGTGAAGCAGATGGACATCACCACCGCCTTCCTCAATGGGATCATTGTGGAGGAGCTGTACATGTTACAGCCTGAGGGTTTGGATGATGGGAGCGGCAGGGTGTGTAGGCTGAAGAAGGCCATCTATGGCCTGAAGCAGGCTCCTCATGCATGGTACCACAAGCTAGAGGAGACACTGCTTGCTGGGGGGTTCAAGAAGAGTGAGTGTGACCACAACCTGTTCCTGCTACAAGAGAAGGAGCAGTTTCTCATGCTCCTGGTGTATGTGGACGACATCTTGCTCTTCTCTGAGTCATCTGTAATGATTGAGGGTGTCGAGGAGATGTTGGAGATGCAGTTCAAGTTTTCCACGATGGGAGATGTGAAGTACTATTTGGGGATGCATGTGGAGAGGGACCTTCACAAGGGTGTGTTGAGGTTGCACCAGAGGAAGTACTGTGAGGGGCTGGCCGAGAAGTATGGGCAGCAAGATGGAGGAAAGCCAGCCACCCCACTGCCTTCGAGGTTCACTGTGGAGCCCTCTGCTGATGAGGAGGTGGTGGGTGAGAATGACAGGAAACTTTTTCATTCCATGGTTGGGGCACTCAACTATGCGGCTAACCACACACGGCCTGACATTGCCTTTGCAACATCCAGGCTTGCCAGTGTGGTTTCACGCCCCGGTCATGAGCAGCTGGAAGCGACCAAGAGGTTGGTCCGCTATGTGAGCGCTACGGCATCAGTGGGCTTGGAGTACAGTGCTGTGCGATAGAGGCTGCAGAGGGGTGCAGCTGATTTGGGCAAGGGGGAGATGCTCCTGACCTGTTACACCGACGCCAGCTTCGACTCTGTGAAGGCGGATGGCACCACCATTGGAGGCTATGTGTGCCTGTTTGGAGGTGGTGCAGTGAGCTGGCGCAGCAAGAAGTAGAACGAGGTGGGGCAGTCCTCGTGTGAGACAGAGTACATGGCCCTACATCATGGGGCAAAGGAGGTGGTGTGGCTGAGGCGTTTGTTGGAGGAGATCGGAGTGTGCCTGAGGGAGCCGACTGTGATTTTCTGTGACAACGAGTCGGCTGTGAAGCTTGCAAAGAACGCTTGCCTTCATGGGCTGACGACACACATCAGGCCTAAGTGGCACTGGTGAGGAGGCTCCTAGACAAGGAGGTGCGATTGGAGATTGTGAAGACCCATCAGCAGGCGGCTAACATTCTCACCAAGCGCCTGGCTGAATCTGAGCCTTGGAAGGGCATCAAGCTTGCTGGGATGAGTGTGCATTGAGGGTGCATGCTTGAGTTATGGCATGTGGAATGATGGTTGGCAGCCAGAGGGGGAGTTTGTTGTGTGATGCAATCATATGCATTCACGTTTGTCTGCCTCCCATCATATGTTCGTGCGTTGCATGCGTGGTGTGAGCGTGTGCAAGAATTTGTGTTTTGTGTGGTTTGAATTTTCTGAGTGTGTGCAAATGTTATTTGGCTTGAGCAGATATCTGAAGTGACTCCTCTGCTCAAGAGCTTTCCGACGAACCAAGTATCGCTTCAATCGGAGCACGAACAAGAAAGTTACGAACGTTGGAAGTTCGTATGCTTTTGATATTTGGTTGTGGTGATTATGGGAAGTTGTGGGGTTGACTCCATAAGGGGTACAGACTTTTGGGGGTTGGGAAATTCGTCAACATCACTGTAGATGCTGCCAAGTGGTTGGGAGAAACCAAACCAGGTTGGCAAGTGTGGCCAAGTTGGGCAAGGTGAATGGCATCGGTTGGGAAAGTGACAAAAGTGAAAGTGGGGTTGCCTATGGAGAGGGGAATTGTGTGGCATGGGGTTTCCTTGGTTGAGGAATCTCTTGGGACCTTCCCTCTCGTCCTCCTTATCCCATCCCACCTGGTTTATTGCCACTCTAACTCTCTTGTGTAGTAATTGTGAACTTGTGTGAGACTCTTCTGATTGAGTTAAGATTCTATGGCAGCATACCCCCTAGTGCGCCGAAATTGATAACTCAAGAAATACTTCATCGTTTTGTATGATTCAACTTGGGAATTTTAGCCATAAAGTAGAGCTACAACATATCTAAGTTTGGTGAAGTTCTGACTGTGAACGTTTCGTCGACGGCGTTTCTTGTGAGCGCGACTTTTCTGTCTAGAATTCTAAGCCAACGATTTTGAGAATTTTAGGCACCTTATCTTCGTAGACTCCGTCCTTAGTCTCTAACACATCAGCACTTTTGTACTTTGTTAGGCCTTGTGCCCATGTTTCCTCACTTGCTGTATACTTTGCTTGTACAGTGATCTATATATATGTTTACTTGCATGCATGCCCTTGCTAGGTAATGATCACTATGTTGCTGTTGAGGCATATATACCTCTGCACGTGAACTGGCCTTGTGGCCCTCTACTTGTGCTCACTGTGTATGGTGACGTTGTGATCCACCCTGAGCTTGCTTTGCTTCTCTTGACTGGTCTTGTGACCCCTTGCTCTCCCCTACTTTTGTCAAATGTCATATCTGCTACAGTTTGTTTAGGCTGTAGTGGGGTAGTTGCTATGGGGTACAGTAAGTTTAGGGTTTCCTACTTGTACCCAACTCTTTCCTAGTTCAATCACTCTTGTTTATTATGACATGGTATCACGAGCCTAGGTTGCCACCTAGGACCATTTACTACTACGTGCCCACTAATCCACTAGAAGCGCCCTCGTGCGCCTTTCTCTCCTTGTGCGCCCTCGTGCGCCTCTTCCTGCTAGTGCGCCCTCGCGCGCCTCGCCCTTCGTTCTGCCTGCGCGCCATCCTGCAGCCCTCCTGCTGCCCTAGGCCAGTGCGCCGCCCCTGCAAGCTAGTAAGGCCCTCGAGCCGCCCGTGCAGGTCCGTCAGGCCCTCGAGCCCCCTCTGCAAACCCGTCAGGCCCCCGAGCCGCCTCTGCAGACCCGTCAGGCCCCCGAACCGCCTCTGCAGACTCGTCAGGCCCCCGAGCCGCCTCTACAGGCCCGTCAGGCCCGAGAGCCGCCCTTGCAGGCCCGTCAGGTCGGCGTGCTGCCTCTGCAGGACCACGCTGCCTGCGCGCAGCTTCTGCCCAACCGTGTGCCGCACCTGCAGGCCCTCGCCGCCCGCACACAGCCTCTGCAGGCCCGTCCGGCCAGCGCGCGACCCCGTCAGGTCGCTGTCGTGGCCCCGTCAGGCCGCAGTCGCGGCCCCGCCTGGTCGCTGCACCGGCCCCACCCTGCCGCGGTCGCGGCCCCGCCCTACCGCCGACGCGGACGCGGCCCCCTCCTGTCGTGACGTGGCCCCGCTAGCCCTGCAGCTGACGCGGTCACGCCCTACTGCTGACGCGGCCGCGCCCAGCTGCTGACGCGTCGTCGCCCCCCTGCCCGCCGCGTCGCCCTGCCCGCGGCGTCGCCCCTGCCCGCGTCGTCGCCCCCTGCCCGCCGCATCGCCCCTGCCCACGGCGTCGCCCTGCTCGCCGCGTCGCCCTGCCCGCCGCGTCGCCCCTGGCCGCGACGTCGCCCTGGCTGCGGCGTCGCCCTGCCCGCCGCGTCGCCCCTGCCCGTGGCGTCGCCCCTGCCCGCCGCATCGCCTTGCCCTACCCCGCGCCTAGCCCCTGGAGCAGCCGCCCCTGCAGCAGCCGCCCCTGGCTACTGGAGCAGCCGCCACTACAAGAGCCGCCCCTGGCCCCTGGAGCAGCCGCCCCTAGAGTAGCCGCCCCTGCAGCAGCCCCCTGCAGCAGCGACCGTCGCGGCCCGGTCCCGCCCTGCAGCAACTGCCGCGGTCGCGGCCCCGCCCTGCCGCTGTAGCGGCCCCGCAGTCGCCTCCGTCGTGCACCTGCCCTTCCCACCACTGGTGGGCACTGCCCTACTTGTGCTGCTACTGCTGTTACTGCTGCTGCTACTGCTACTGCTGCTCCTACTGCTCCTGCTTCTACTACTGCCCCTGGCGTGGTCAGATGCAGCTCCAGGGCCGTTCGCGTGTGTCCCTCACGCCCCAGCAGCTTCGTGTGTGGTACGCCTGTTGGGATTGTCGGGGTGGCAGTAGTGGGAGTCGTCCTGGAGTGGGTAGTTCGGGAGCTTCTTGTAGTGGCCCTGTGCAGCAGCAGCGTCCTCCGCGCGAGAATCTTTCGCCTCAGGAGCTTCGTGAGTGGTACGCTCAGAGTAGAGGGTCGCTGAGTACTGCTCGCTGCCCGTACGTTATTAGCAAGGGTGTCCGGATTGGTCAGCCTTGCGGGACGCTTGGTCACACAGAGTCCCGCTACTTCGCCTGTCTGAGCGACGCTTGGCGTACATAGTTTGGCAACGACGCTGAGCTCCCCGACTGGGTGGAGCTGCTTAGGCAGAGGGTAGATATCTTTGCTCTTGACTATGATGTTGTTCTCACTGCAATGTATGCATTGTCTACTATCATCTATGTGTGCCGCCTGACCCCGGTATCCAGTCTGCTGGTCCAAGTGCCGGTGAGGCTGCCCCTGGTCCTGGTGAGGCTGCTGCTCTAGGTGCAGGTGTGTCTGCTGCTTCAGGTGCTTGTAAGTCTGCGCCTTCAGGTACTGCGTCTACTGAGGCACTGCACACCTTCACACTGGACTCAGGTGCTTCCCGCTGTTTCTTTTGCGACCGCACTGCCCTTGAGTAGCTCCCTAGGCCTGTTGCTGTCTCCCTGGCTGACCCCTCTGGGGGCCCGGTCCTTGCGACCTCCACCACTGCCCTCCCTTGTCCTGCTGTCCCGTCCGGCACACTGTCGGGCCTTTACCTCCCCTCGTTCTCTACGAACTTGGTGGCGGGTTCCACGCTCCAGGACGTGGGTGTTCACCAGTTCACCCATGCCTACGAGCGGGTGACACTGCACGCGTGCCCAGACGGGTCGTCACCTGGCTACCTTCACTCGGCAGCCGGGGTCGGATTTGTACACACTGACCACTAAGTCCCCTCTGGTAGCGGCGTCTGCGTCTGCGTCAGGTCAGTTGTCCACCCCCTGCTCGTGTCGCACCCTGTCGTACCGGACGGTCCTCTGGCACCACCGCCTTGGTCACCCTTTGATGCAACGCCTTCGTGGCATGCACTCTCGCTTCCTTGTCTCTGGTCTCCCCATGTCATTGCCTCCCCTGCCACCGTCCCCTGCCCCTTCCTGCCTTCCCTGTGTCGAGGGGCGGCAGCGTGCCACCCCTCACTCTTCTAAGTTCCCCCCGATAGAGGCTCCTCTGCAGACCCTTCACATGGACGTGTGGAGCCCAGCCCGCGTCCATGGACAGGCCGGAGAACGCTACTTCCTGCCTGTAGTTGATGACTACACGCGTTACACCACGGTCTTCCCCTTGCGCACCAAGGGAGAGGTCCCTGCTATCTTGATCCCTTGGATCCGCGCTACTCGTCTCCACATGGAGAGGCACTTTCGCACGGACCTTCCCGTCCTGCGACTGCACTCTAGCAGAGGTGGTGAGTTTTCCTCTGGACTCTTGGAGGCCTTCTATCAGAGGGAGGGCATTGAGCAGACGTTCACGCTTCCGGCCTCTCCTCAGTAGAAAAGGGTTGCTGAGCACCGCATTGGCTTGGTCATGGAGGTTGCTCGTACCTCCTTGATCCATGCGGCTGCCCCCCATTTTTTGTGGTCGTTTGCAGTCCGCTACGCCGCGCATCAGCTCAACCTCTGGCCCCGTGTCTCCATTCCGGAGACCTCGCGGACATTGCGTTGGACGGGAGCGGTTGGCGATGCGTCTGTGTTCCATGTCTGGTGATCTTGTGCCTTTGTCCACGATACGTCCGCGGACAAGCTCTCCTCCCGCACTGTTCCTTGTGTCTTCCTGGGCTTTGTCCTTGACGCGCGTGGCTGGTAGTTTTACCACCCCACCTCGCGCCGTGTCTTCCCCTCTCAGGACGTCATGTTTTACGAGTTGGTCCCCTTTTACCGTCTCTTACCCTACCGCACAGCCCCGCTCCCCCCTCCGCCGCTCTTCCTCACACCAGGTGCTGCTTTGGTAGACCCCCTGCCTCCCCAGGGTCCTGCTCCCTCAGGTGTTTCCCAGGTAGACCCGGTCGAGCCTGTCGAGGTAGCTGTCGACTCTGGTCCTGCGCGAGGTACTGAGCGTTCTCAGCCTGGTGGTGTTGGGTCTAGGGGTACTGAGACTGGGGGTGCTGAGCCTAGGGGTGCGGAGACTGGGGGTGCTGAGCCTGGGGGTGCGGAAACTGCTGGTGCTGAGCCTGCGGGTGCTGAGACTGGGGTTGTTGTCCCTGGGGGTGCTGAGTCTGGAGGTCCTTAGCCTGGGGGTGTTGCGCCTGGGGGCGTTCCCTCTTCCCAGTAGTTGCGTGAGTGGTACTCTCGGTACTGTCGCTGCCGCCGTGGTGCTGTGGGAGCTGGAGGTGCTACTGGAGCTGGAGCTGAGGGCGCTGAGCCTACTAGAGTTGGTGTTGCCGCTGACCCTGGGGTTGGCACTGGAGGTGCTGGAGCCACTGGTCCTGAAGGTGCTCGTACTCGCGGTACAGGAGCTGCTGGGACTGGGGGTGCTACTGGAGCTGTTGAAGCTGGTCCTGCTGGAGGTGCTGTTAGTGCTGCTGGAGGGACTGGAGTTGCTGGAGCTGGTGGTGGTGCTAGAGGTACTGGGGCTGGTGGTGCGGCTGGTGCTGGTGCTGCTGGAGGTACTGGAGCTGCTGGAGGAGCTGCTAGTGCTGGTCCTGCTAGAGGAGCTACTAGTGCTGCTGGAGGTACTGCAGCTGCTGGTGGTGCTGAGGGAGTTGGAGCTGCTGCTGGAGGCTCTGGTGCTGTCTCTGCTGGTTCTGGGGGCACTTCACAGCCACGGCCGTACCTCGTTCCCCTCCTTCAGCAGGTTCTTGGTCACCCGCCTCCTCCTTATCCTACTCCCGCCTTAGAGTGTCCTCCGCCTGTCCAGTCGCTGTCACAGCTACCGCCTGCCTCGCCACTCCCTGGTCTTCTCCCTACACTCGTCTGACAGGCGGTCTTACATAGCGTCGTGAGCCTGAGTCTCGTCATGTGTCGCCTGAGTCTCGGTCTGCGTCACCTGTTCGTGCTGCTCGTACTGGTCGTCGTGTCCCGCGTCAGCGTCCTCCTGCTGTCCCAGGCACTCACCAGATGGCGCTTCGTCCTTCCACTGGTCCACAGCGTGTACCGCGGCCTTCTCCTCCTGCGTCCTCTCTTCCTGCCCTTGCTGACCCGGAGTCTGACTCTCTTAGTGCTGCTAGTCCTACTGTCACGCGTCTCCTGGCCACTACTGTCATTGACCCTTCCTTTGAGTCAGCTGCTGCGTCTGCCTTAGTTGCTGAGCCTGTCGACTTTGCTGCTCAGTATCGTCTAGACTACGCTGCGAGTCTTGTTGCTGAGTCTGAGTCTGTCTGTCCTCCGTCCATCGGGGGTGAGTGTGCTCTTGGCACGGACGTCCTTGAGGACAGGCAGGAGGAGTTTGAGTGCTTTGCCGCCGCTGTACCTCATCTCGTGTCCATGCTGATTGCACTTGAGGGAGACCCGGATGCTCTAGACATCCCGACCCCGCGCTCTTACGCTGAGGCGATCGCGGGTGAGTACTCCTCTCAGTGGCAGACAGCCATGGATGCAGAGATGGCATCTTGGATGTCCACTGACACTTACGTCGACGAGGTTCCCCCTCTTGGGGCGAACATCGTCAGTGGCATGTGGATTTTCAGGGTGAAGCGGCGGCCAGGTTCTGCGCCTGTCTTCAAGGCTCGTTACTTTGCTCGAGGGTTCAGCCAGCGAGATGAAGTAGACTTTTTCCTGTTAAAGACTAAGGACGGAGTCTAAAAACATTATGGGCCTAGTTTCTCAAAATCGTTGGTTTCAATTTCTGGACAGAAACGTCGAGTTCCCAAGAAAAGCCGTCAACAAAACGTTCACGGTCAAAACTTCATTAAACTCAGATATGTTGTAGCTCTACTCCGTGGCTACAATTTCCAAGTTGAATCTTATGAAAAAGGTGAATTATTTCTGGAGTTATCAAATTCGGCGCTCTAGGGGGTATGCTGCCATAGAATCTTAACTCAATCACAAGAGTCTCACACAAGTTCACAATTACTACACAAGAGAGTTAGAGTAGCAATAAACCAGGTGGGATGGGATGAGGAGGATGAGAGGGAAGGTTCCAAGAGAGTCCCCAACCAAGGAAACCCAATGCCACACAATTCCCCTCTCCATAGGCAACCCCACTTTCACTTTTGTCATTTTCCCAACCTCCACAATCCACCTCAACCCAACTTGGCCACACTTGCCAGCCCAATTTGGTTTCTCCCAACCACTTGGCAGCATCTAAAGTGATGGGGACGAATTTCTCAACCCCCAAAAGTCTGTACCCCTTATGGAGTCAACCCCACTACTTCCCATAGTCACCACAACCAAATATGAAACGCATGCGAACTTCAACGTTCGTAACTTTCTTGTTCGTGCTCCGATTGAAGCGATACTTGGTTCGTCGGAAAGCTCTTGAGCAGAGGAGTCACTTCAGATATCTGCTCAAGCCAAATAACATTTACACACACTCAGAATAACCAAACCGCACAAAACACAAATTCTTGCACACGCTCACACCACGCATGCAACGCACGAACATATGATGGTAGGCAGACAGACGTGAATGCAGATGATAGCATCACATAACACTTCCAGACCTTCTCCCCCACCCCGAAGATGACCACTCTTCGGGTGCTACGGCACGTTGCTGCTCAGCGTGACTACGAGATTCACACTCTTGACTTCAGCACGGCTTTCTTGCAGGGCAGCCTGCACGAGGAGATCTGGCTCTGCCGCCCTCCTGGCTTCACTGGGCTGTTTCCTCCTGGTACCCAGTGGAGCCTCCGGCGGCCGGTCTACATTCTCCGCCAGGCGCCACGTGAGTGGCACGACACACAGAGGACTACACTTGCGGCTCTTGGGTTCGCGCCTTCTACTGCTGACCCGTCGCTGTTTCTGCGCACCGACACTTCGCTGCCGCCGTTCTTTATCCTCGTGTACGTCGACGACTTGGTCTTTGCCACTGCTGACACTAAGGCTCTCACCCACGTGAAGTCGGAGCTGCAGAAGAGACACACGTGCACAGACCTGGGTGAACTGCGCAGCTACCTTGGCTTGCAGATCACCCGGGACAGAGCACGCCGCACTGTCACACTGACTTAGTCACACATGGTGCAGCAGGTCCTTCAGCGCTTCAGCTTCACCTGTTCCTCGGCACAGGCCACTCCTCTGGCTACAGGTCACTCGCTCTTAGCTCCACCTTGTTAGGTGATGCTATCATTTGCATTCACGTATGTCTGCCTCCCATCATATGTTTGTGCGTTGCATGCGTGGTGTGAGCGTATGCAAGAATTTGTGTTTGATGTGGTTTGGTTTTTCTGAGTGTGTGTGAATGTTATTTGGCTTGAGCAGATATCTGAAGTGACTCCTCTGCTCAAGAGCTTTCCTACGAACCAAGTATCGTTTCAATCGGAGCATGAACAAGAAAGTTATGAACGTTTGAAGTTCGTATGCTTTTGATATTTGGTTGTGGTGACTATGGGGAGTTGTGGGGTTGACTCCATATGGGGTACAGACTTTTGGGGGTTGGGAAATTCGTCTTTTCTACTGTAGCTGCTGCCAAATGGTTGGGAGAAACCAAACCAGGTTGGCAAGTGTGGCCAAGTTGGGCAAGGTGGATGGCATGGGTTGGGAAAGTGACCAATGTCAAAGTTGGGTTGCCTATGGGGAAGGGAATTGTGTGGCATGGGGTTTATTTTGTTGGGGACACTCTTGGGACCTTTCCTCTCATCCTCCTCATCCCATCCCACGGGGTTTAGTGCTACTCTAACTCTCTTGTGTAGTAATTGTGAACTTGTATGAGAACTTCGTGATTGAGTTAAGATTCCATGGCAGCATACCCCCTAGTGCGCCGAAATTGATAACTCAAGAAATACTTCACCTTTTTGTATGATTTAACTATTTAATTGTAGCCACAGAGACGAGCTACAACATATATGAGTTTGGTGAAGTTTTGACCGTGAAAGTTTCGTCGACGGCGTTTCTTGTGAGCGCGACTTTTCTGTCCAGAATTCTAAGCCAACGATTTTGAGAATTTTAGACACCTAATCTTCGTAGACTCCGTCCTTAGTCTTTAACGAGTGGTATCAGAGCTGATTAAGGACCTTTTGGGGAGTCTAGTGAAGTGTGAAGACCCTCCTAGACCCACCATGGCCTGTGGGTGTGCCTAAGTGGAGTTCTGGAGGTTGGATGTGACTTCCGCTAAGGGGAAACTTTGCCGAAATTTCGTTGGCGCCGACACTTGTGAAGATTGTGTGGATCTACATTGTGACCAGCAAAGGGGGGGAGCTGAAACCTCTGTTTGGGAGCAGAGGAGATGAATCAAGGGAGTGCAGATGCAGCTGAGAAGAGGAGTGAGCCGCCACCATCCAAGATTGAAGCTTTGGATGGCTCCAATTATTAGGAATGGAGCGGGCGGATGCGAAGCGCCTTCAAGCGCTACACACTGCTGAAAATTGCAATGGGAGAGGAGAAGATGTCGGGGGAAGGAGA